GGTGAATTGCCTGAACCCAGGAGGCGGAGGTCGCGGTGAGCCGAGATCACGCCATTGCACTCCAGCCTGGGTAACAAGAGCGAAACTCCGTCTCAAAAAAAAAAAGAAAGAAAGAAAAGAAAAGGAAAAAACACTTAGCTATCATTGTTCATTGACCACACACTGCTGTGTCAAACGTTAACCCATGCTTATGGTTCTGTGTGGTCAAACTCAGCAGACCAGAAAAAGTCTAAAGGTTCTAAGTGACACCCTCAGGTGTTGTGAAATGGGTGAAACTTTGCTCTTGTTTAAAATAAAAGTTTGCATTTTTCTCCATGGATGATTCTGGAAGTCTCTCCAGCTCTACTCCAGGCCTCCTGGAGTAGCCTCGATCTTGGTGTTCTTTGAGATGAACATCTGTTTTGCCTTTAACAGGCATAAACAAAAACAGGCTTCCTCGAAGGCACCAACGCCACAGAAGAGAATCATCTAAGACTGAGCCAATACATTGGGCTCACAGACATGGCGGCTGCCTTGCACCCACAGACCCCAAGAAGGGAAACTCTTAGCCCTTGAGCACTTACAGGAAGAGCTGGAATGAAGATCGTGACATAGGTCTGAGTAAGCCTAAGTAACAAAAAGAAAACAAAAATTGTGACGGAGGCCTTGGTTTCAAGGGAAAAGTAGGCAGAAGAAAATAACTAGAACTGCCGTTTGCATTCTTGGCTCTTTCAAAATTAAAGGGCTTACATTGCTGGAGTAAATGTGAAAATTTACATATAAAGCTTGTCATCTTAAAACCCAGATAACCTTTCTTGGTTCTTTTGTGTCTTTATGTTTAGGAAGGGTTTTTCAATTTCAGCACCATCACCAGGTAATTTTCCACCTGTTGTGGGGTACTGTCCCGAGCACAGCAAGATGTCCCACAGTCTCCTGGGTTCTACCAGGAGTACCCCCTACTGCCAGCTGTGATAACCAGAAACGTCTACAGACATTGCCAAATGTCTCCTTGGTTCAGAGCCACTGATCTAGATAAGAGCTTTGAAAGCTCTTACCCGGCCAGGCACGTGGCTCACACCTGTAATCCAAGCACTTTGGGAGGCCAAGGTGGATGGATCACAAGATCAGGAGTTCGGGACCAGCCTGGCCAATATGGTGAAACCCTGTCTCTACTAAAACTACAAAAATTAGCTGGGCATGGTGGCCAGCGCCTGTAGCCCCAGCGACACGGGAAGCTAAGGCAGGAGAATTGCTTGAACCCGGGAGGCAGAGGTTGCAGTGAGCAGAGATCACGCCGCTGCACTCCAGCCTAGGAAACAGAGTGAGACACCATTTAAAAAAAAAAAAAAAGAATCCTGGGAGGTGGGGACCAGGGCACAGGTGGGTTTGAAAGCACTCAGCTGATTTTAATATCAACCAGGGTCAAGATATACTAAACTTTGAGCAAACGCCACAAACTACCATCCACATGGAGGGTGCTTACGAATCTATTTTCATTCAAAACTCTCAGCCATGCAGGTCACCCAGGAGGGGAGTGGGTACATCTTGGGTGCCAGATGTGAAAAGTACTGAGACCTAGAAGACGTCATCCAAGGAGAGATTAGCACCACTCTGGTGTGCAGCCTTGCCCCTGGCCTTGGCTGCACCCAGACGGGATGAACTTTCTGTGGGATGGACACCCAGTCCCGCCACAACAGGTCCCATCTTACCTGGACACGCCTGGGTCCTGCCTGAAGAGCAGCAGGATGTGTTGGGTGTTGAGAAAGAGCGCCCAGCAGGGGAAGCAGCAGAGGAGCAAGATGAGCGCGCTTCGCTGCAGGATCACGCCCACGTGCTTCAGGTTCTGACTCCCGTACGTCTGGGGTGAGCACAGCCAAAATGAGCCCATTAGCATGGACCCAGCACCCCGCCGTCCCCCAGAAGCCTTCAGTCATGCCTCATAAAGAAGCAGGTTGGGTTGAGCACAGTGGCTCATGCCTGAAATCCCAGCACTCTGGGAGGCCGAGGCTGGCAGATCATGAGGTCAGGAGATGGAGCCCATCCTGGACAATATGGTGAAACCTGGTCTCTACTAAAAATACAGAAAAATTAGCTGGGCGTGGTAGCGCACGCCTGTAGTCCCAGCTACTCGGGAGGCTGAGGCAGGAGGATTGCTTGAACCCAGGAGGCAGACGTTGCAGTGAGCCAAGGTCGCCACTGCACTCCAGCCTGGTGTCTGGTGACAGAGTGAGACTCTTGTCTGGAAAAAAAATATTAGCCGGGCGTGGTGGTGAGCACCTGTAACTGCAGCTACTCAGGAGGCTGAGGCAGGGGAATTGCTTGTACCCAGGAGTCTGGTTGCAGTGAACCGAGATCCTGCCACTGCACTCCAGCAAGACTCAAAAATAAATAAATAAATAAAATAAGAAAAAGAAAAGAAAAGAAAGAAGCAGCAGGTTGGCCAGGCAAGGTGGCTCAGGCCTGTAATCCCAGCACTTTGGGAGGCTGAGGCGAGCAGATCACTTGAGGCCAGGAGTTCAAGACCAGCCTATGCAACATGGTAAAACCCCATCTCAATAAAAAATTAGTTGGGTGTAGTGGTGCATGCCTGTAGTCCCAGCTACTTGAGAGGCTGAGGCAAGAGGATGGCTAGAGCTCAAGAGTTCGAGGCTGCAGTGAGCTGTGGGTGTGCCACTGCAGCCTAGCTTGGGTGACAAAGCAAGACTGTGTCTCCAAACAAAACAGCCAAATTTTGCACATCTTCTCAAGTTGTGCGCATCTCCCCCAGCTCCATGTTCAGTGACATCTCTCGTGGGTTGAAATTAACCAGAGGAAATACTTACACACCTGAAATTGGCAAACACTGCCAGTCACGTGTTTCTCTCTTCCCCCTTTCCCCCAAGACTTGGTTGCTGAACATTTACCAGCCTGCCACTGGGTGGGGACAGGAAAGCTGGGTTTTAAGAAGTCCTCCAAGCGACTCTGATGCACGCTCAATTTAGAGAACCACAGAACTATACCAAATTCAAACCAAACACGTGGGGAGTGATAGAGGGGAATTTTACAAAATGCCCCCTATTTGTTCAACATACAGTGTAAGACAGTCGTGCAGACAAACACTAGTTTACAAGGCTGAAAGAAACCCAGTGACATTTCAAATAAAGCAGGCCAGGAGAAGCGGAGTCGCTGGCAGACAGACACCGCAGGTGCTGCTGCTGGGCTCTTGTTGCCAGTGGGGCTCTGCCATCTACACTGGAGAAAAGGTATTTGAGGTCACTGTGAGCGTGTGGCCACTTCCATTTACCTGGGAGATGAGGGTGTCACAAGCAGAAGATAAGCCAAATCCCACCGAGACACCAGTGACATTGATAACCTGTAAACAAACCCAGAGATGAGTACTTGCAGAGTTAAAGAAAGAAAGGAAGATTAAATCCCTGCGTGTGTTGATCAGAGCCTGCAAAGCTCCTCCTTCAGCATTCACAAGGCAATTTTATCAACTCTGTTAGCTGCCTGAGGCCCCCAGTCAGACTGAGGCCATTCTCACAGGTTTAACAAAAATTCTGGACGGAACTAGAGTATTCATCAGGCTGCACTTTGACCCACTTCCTTATAACCGAAAGTCACGTGGCACCAGACACTGACCATGTACATCCCCGTTGTTCCTACAGATGGGATTTCTGGTGTCACAATCACAAGGCTATTGTTTAAGAATTGTTGACCCAGGGCGGTGGTTCATGCCTGTAATCCCAGCACTTTGGGAGGCCAAGGTGGAAGGATCGCTTGAGCCCAGGAGTTCAAGACCAGCGCAGGCAGCATGATGAAATCTCATCTCTACAAAAAGTACAAAAACTAGCAGGCATGGTGGCATGCTCCTGTAGTCCCAGCTATTTTTGAGGCTGAGGTAGGAGGATCACTTGAACCCGAGAAGCAGAGGTTACAGTGAACCGAGATTACACCACTGTACACCAACCTGTGTCAAGACCCCCATAAAGGAACTGAATCAGCATGAGAACAGTTTCTTCACATCCCTGTCGCATGACTTCACACTGCACTCTTCAACCAATCGCATGACTTCACACTGCACTCTTCAACCAATCGACAATCACACTTCAGCCCATTCGAAAACCCTTAAAAACCCTAGCCCTAAACTCTTCGAGGGAGACAGATTTGAGGTTTCCTCATCCAGTGGCCTTACAATTAAACCTCTTTCACTGTTGCAACCTGGCATCTTGGCGTATTGACTTGCCATGAGCAAGGTGACAAACCTATTATGGCTATAAGTTTTGGCTAGGTTAAAGGACACGCACAAGCTTGGAAGGGGAAGAAAAGTCTAGGCCAGAGGTGATTGCCCAGACTTTCTCTTTTAAAAGTCATTTTGCTCTCCAATTTCGGGGCTCAGGGACACTGCTTACTGGAATGCAATGACACAGCAGCACAGAAGAGTCCACCTCCTGGAGACCTAGCATGGCCCGCGTCCTTACCCTGGAGGGCACTGGGAGTGCAGAGGCAGTCTGAAGTCCAGGTTAGTGCCAGAGCCTTTCTAGATGTGCTCACCTTCACCAAGGGTCAGCAGCAAACCCTAAAGCTTCGGGGAGCCCAGGGCAGTGCCCCCAAACCAGGGAGTGGTATCACAGGATGTCTGACGCATACCCCTTCTGGAACCTGGTGCCTCCACCTGATTCTACAGCAGGGAACCCGTGGGCAACAGCCCAAACTGCACCCAGCCTGGAAGCCCTGACTTTGATAAGCCTTTGGCCACATCCTGTAATTCCTTGGCCAAAGAGAACCTGCTGAGGCTTGCTAAGTGCATTTCTGTCTTCCCTTCTATTGCAAATACAATACTTAAAAACAAAATGGGGCGGGCGCTGGGGGCGGTGGCTCACCCTTGTAATCCCAGCACTTTGGAAGGCCGAGGTCTTCCAAAGATCACTTGAGGTCAGGAGTTCTAGAACAGCCTGGGCTGACAAGGTGAAACCATATATATATAGACACAAAAATTAGCCAGGCGAGGTGACAGTCGCCTGTAATCCCAGCTACTCAGGAGGCTGAGGCAGGGAGAATTGCTTGAACCCAAGAGGCGGAGGTTGCAGTGAGCTGAGATCATGCCACTGTGCTCTAGCCTGGGCGACAGAGCAAGACTCTGCCTTGTAAAAACAACGGATAATTAAGCCTGGGGTTGTCCATGTTGTCCCCTAAAGCCAAAATAAAATAAGCCATATGTACTCATAGCTAGTTCCACATACATTTGGTGACTAATTCCCAGCAGTCTTGCATAGTTCACAGGTAGCAAATGTAATGCCTGGTGAGACCAGGCAGATAACTGAAAGTGTGTCTCCATCAGGGCTGGAGCAAAGGGGAAATGCATCCATCAAAGAGCCATTGAATCCACTTTTGTAGAAACACCCAAACTAGACAAACCAAACCCTTCGGCCTCACATGGCCAGTTGACAATTCCTGGCTGAGATGGACGATATGTCTCTGGTTTGGGGGGTTTGCATCTACAATACGGAGAGGATTTGGAGTTCCTCTCAATTTTAAATTTGGACACAAAGATATGGACTTTCGCCTTCCAGACCCATTTCTAGATTAGGACTCTCAGTAAGACAGACAACTGAGTGGGGAGCATGGGGGGAGTCACTTCCTCCTGAGGAAGTCAGACTTGAACTCCCCTTTTACTGTTCCCTTCCCCGAACTGTGGGACCAAGAGTGGGAATCAGAGCACCATGAATCACAAGTAAGATGATGGCTGGGCACGGTGGCTCACGCCTGTAATCCTAGCACTTTGGGAGGCCAAGGCAGGTGGATTGTTTGAACTCAGGCGTTTGAGACCAGCCTGGGCGACATGGTGAAACCCCGATTCTACTAAAAATACAAAAATTAGCCAAGTGTGGTGGTGCACACCTGTAACCCCAGCTACTTGGGAGGCTGAGGCAAGAGAATCGTTTGAACCAGGAGACAGAGTTTGCAGTGAGCCGAGATCACGCCACTGAACTCCAGCCCGGCGACAGAGCGAGACTTCATCACAAAAAAAAAAATAAATAAATAAAGTAAAATAAAAAACAGAAATAAGAGGATGTGGTAGACAGAATAATGCCCCCTAAGATGTTCCCATCCTAATCCCCAGAAGCTAGGAATCTGCGAGGTTATATGGCAAAGGGGAATTAAGGCTGCAGCACCTTGATTTTAGCCCGTGAAACCCACTCCAGACTTCTGCCCTCCAGCACTGTAAGAGAATAAGTCTGTGAAGGTTTCAGCCACGACCTTTTGGTGATTGGTTACAGCAGCAGCAGGAGACAAACACAGGCAGCGTTGGTAAACCTGTCAGAAAGCCACCACGTACCGCGATCGCCAGCGTGACCGCGTCCAGCTCCAGCTTGCCCAGGTGGCCGCAGAACACGGAGCTTATGAAGCTGATCAGGAACACCATCAGCTGAACCAAGAACTGGAAAGAGAGGGGAATGGGAAGGGAGGTGAGTGCCCACCATCGCAGGAAAGCCTGGGGCCCCAGGGGTGACCCCGACACCAGTCAGAAGTAAAGAAACCCAGCTTCAGTGAGCCTCTGCCGCCTGTCATAGGCAAATGTACAATTTCTGGGGCTGGGGGTGGGGGCCTCTTGAGATCTCAAAACATTTATTTGCAACCATGGGGTCAGAACCACTTTTTTGAGAAGCTCCCAGCCTTTTCGGTTTTTCACTTCAGTTTCTCAAGCTACAGAGCACATTAAGTTTCCTCTGAAATCTGCAGAGGCTGCCTTCTGGGATAATGCCCTTGTTATCCAAGATTCCTAGTGTGGACTGGAGAGAATATGGGATCCAACAGCAAGAGCCCACTCCAGCTAGGAAGTCCGCAGACGAGGAGCTGAAGATAGCGATGAGATCGTCCACCTGGAGTGCCGGTGGAATCGGGATTCTCAGGGGGAAACAGAAGAGGCCCACTGAGCACTTCGCATTCTAGGAAGCCTCAGATGTGAAGGCAATTTCTGGAATATTGAGCCATTTCTTCCTCGAAATTCCAGCGGGCAATTCTATGAATTGCTCCACAGCGCTTTCAGTGCACCATTGGATAACGAGCTTATTTCTGGAGGTTACCTTAAAATCACCAGATTTTAATCACCTGCCCCCCACCCACCAGACCCGGGCAGTCCAGTATCTCTCTTGGGGAAGCCCCTCTCCCCTGGCAGGCTACGTGGCCCAAAAGGGGGGTTCACATGACCCCTGCTCCCTAGGAGGAGAGGATGGGTGCCTTAGGACTTGCTGCTGCCACTGCTGCCTACGTCTACCCCATGGGGCCCTCACTGAAGCTGACGCCCCAGAGTTGGTGATGCTTGCTGCTGGTCCAGCTGCAAGGCCGCCTCTCACCGCCCTCAAGGAGTACAGACTCCACTGTGCTGAGCCCACAGAAAAGTCCCTCTTCCTAGGGCTCCAGTGACTTAGCTTCTAGAGCTGACCTCCACCAGGCTCACACACAGCCCATCTGCCAGCTCTGCAACCACCTCCAAATTCAGGCCCCTGAGCCATGATGGTTCCCATCATCGCCCTCTTTTCCTCCCCAGAATCCACACCTAGGGAGAGACCATTTTCAACTCCTGTGATGGGCCCAGACCTTCAAAGCATGCAAAGCCTGTTCGTGTGTGTGTGGTAGCGGATGTATCTTTCTTTTATCATCGTCTACGTGACCCAGACACCTCTCTACCACAGAAGCCAGGTGTGAATGTCATCTCCAACAGTCGCCCGGCCACTGAGCAGGTGGAGCACTTTTTTTTTTTTTTTTTTTTTTTTTTTTTTTTTTTCACGTGTAAGATTTTATTCAGATTTGATTTGCATTCCAAAAGAAATTATAAAATGTATTTACTTGTTTATAAAAAAAAGAGGGGGTACAAAATTTTAATTCAAATTATAAAACATGATTCATTTTCAGATTAAAAGTGGGCTAGTTGCTTGGAGTAACAAACTTTTAAATCAGCATTTTCCACCTCCACACCAAGGATAACCTTCTAATTAATGATCAGCTATGCTGTAATAGGATAGCACTGAGACTTGAGTAAACAGCAAAACTGAAGAGCTCTTCTAAGCCCAGACCAGGAACTTTTTTATGCCTTCTCATAGTGACGAACAGCAACCACATCACCAAAAGTAAGGGTCATAACCATTTTGCCATCCTTAATTTCCCTTACAAAATTTGTTTCTTTGCCATCCCATTTCTGTACGTGAACAAGTTTGTCTCCATCCAGGCTAACAACAGACTTACAGTTTCTATCATCTGCAGTGGTTTCATCAAACTCTTCTCCCAGATGGAAACTAATCTCCGTGTTCTTGAATGTGCTGAGAGTCCTGATGACCACTTTGTCTCCTTCCTGACTGATAATTACTGTAGGTTTGGTCACATTTCCCACCTGCCTAGTGGCAAAGCCCACACCTAGAGCCTTCATGTACTCATCGAAGTTCTGACTGTCTGTCAGTTTCCAGGTAGCACAGAAAGCCTCCACCATCCTTGCCCCTTCCCCTCTTTAAGACAAGAGCGAGGATCTTCTGGTCTAATTGCCACTGCAGTTCAGAAGACCCTTTATCGGTGGAGCACTTTTGTAAGGCCCTGCGTGGGTAATCCAAAATAAGGCTGAAGACGGGAATAAAAAAGGCGTGGGGTGGAGGTGCCAATCAAAAAGGCTGACATGAAGAACCAGATGCTGTAGAATCTAGAGCTAGAGCCAGTGGACGTCCCGTAGGCCTGTACCAGCAATGGTGACACATGATTTAGGCGTTGTCACCACCCTTACAGATGTCCCCTGTGGTTTCATTAGGCGGAGCTTGGTGTCTGTTTCAATTGTGAATTCATGTACCTTTAAAGGCCACAGGGTCCTTTCTATGTGTGAACTCCGCATCACTTCCAAATCTTTCCAGCTTACTGCGCTTTAAGCCTTTGCACATCATCTGTCACAAGCGGTTGTGTTCACAGAATCTGTCTTCTTCCCCGTGGAACATCGCGTTTCTACTCCACGGTTCCCTGCCTCCCTGCGGGCCACCTGTGAGCTGTTTCTCATGGCTTCGTATGGAAATGTCCTCAGTCACCCCTACTGCTCAGCCTTTGGAGTCCCTCCCAGATTTTGCCATCACAAATTGCATCACCCTGAACATCTTTCTCACTTGGGTGGGGGCCGGTCCAAGGGTGAGAATCATTGGATGTCTTGGATACAAAAGGCCAGGAAGTCGAGCTGAGCTAAACTAATCCAGGTGAGATGCACCTTCAATGTCAATGCCAGCAAAAACGTTTTTTTTTGAGAGCTGCTGCGGCTCTGCCGGGGTTACGGCAACAACCTTGTGCTCCGACTGCCTGAGTCAGGCAGTCCATCCTGAACGTCCGTGCCTGGGATCTCAGCTTGAGTCCGGATTTGCTAACCTCTTCTCAGATCCTGGTTTCAAGCCCTTTGGGTAAATACTTGGCCACAGACTGTGAATCATGTACACAAGGGTCACCTGGGAGCCTGTGCCCTGGCCCATCACAAGACCCAGGAGGCTAGGCCGGGCTCAGTGGCTCACACCTATAATCCCAGCACTTTGGGAGGCCGAGGCAGGTGGATCACCTGAGGTCAAAAGTTCAAGACCAGCCTGGCCAACATGGCAAAGCCCCGTTCTCTACCAAAAACACAAAAAATAAGCTGGGTGCTGTGGTGTGTGGCTGCAATCCCAGCTACTTGGGAGGCTGAGGCAGGAGAATCGTTTGAACCCTGAAGGCAGAAGTTGCAATGAGCTGAGATTGCACCACTATACTCTGGCCTGGGTGACCGAGAGAGACTCTGTCTCAAAAAAAACAAAAAACAAAAAACGACCCAGGAGTTTGGTGGGGCTGAGGAATCTTCATTTCAACATGTCCCCACACTCCCTCACACACACCCAGGCTAGGTGCATGGGGTCCTGGGTCACATTTTGAGCATGCTCCAGACCCTCTGGGACTGTGCTGTCGCAGACGCATATCTGCGCCCAGGGAATGAACCAATTCTGAACAAAGGCCTGTTCCACTAGCTGTCCCAGCAGCTGCTGTCTGAAGAACAGCCTGAACTGGCAGTGGCTTGGACAGAACCAAATGAATGACAGAAATTGCCAGAGTGGGCCGGGCCCGGTGGCTCACACCTGCAATTGCAGGACTTTGGAAGGCTGAGGCGGGAGGACTGCTTGAGCCCCGGAGTTCGAGACCAGCCCAGGCAACATTTTGTAGTGATCCCATCTCTAGAAAAAAATACCAAAGATAGCATGTGTGGTGGCACGCACCTGCGATCCCAGCCACTCAGGAGGCTGAGGCAGGAAGGATCACCTGAGTTCAGGAGTTTGAAGCTGCAGTGAGCAGTCCATACCACTGCATTCCAGCCTGGGTGCCACAGTGAGACCCTGCCAAACCCTGCCAGACTGACTGTGCTTCCATCACTTCTTGTCACTGCGACCCTGCTCAGATTTTGGCCAGACAACAATAAGCAAGCTTGGCAGCCAGATTAAAAACCTTCAGCACCTGGCAGCTTTAGAGGGTTTTCTCCAGGGCAAGGCGCCTCCAGACCGCTTCTCCTACCCCCTCCCATGACTGCTGAAAGTTCACTCACCGGAAGGAAACTGAGAGGTCACCTGGGGTAGCCCCCCCCCCACCTTTCTTTTACATGTGAGGAAGCACAGCCCTGGAGTTTTCGCAAGGAGCCCAGCCACGTGACTCTCAATCTCAACTCAGATGGTTACTTACGGCCACTGTCTTTGAAGCACAAAGTACATCCAAGTGCTGGGGGGACAGGTGTGAGTTAGACACCACTGCTCCACTCCCACCCCATGGGACCCACAGTACAGACGGTCCCGACTGCACAATTTTTCAACTTTGCAATGGTGCAAAAGCAATGTACGTTCCGTAGAAACCATACTTGGAATGTGGAATATTGATCTTTTCCCGGGCTAGTGATGTGTAGTCTCAGACTTGCAGTACTGGTCAGGGCAGTGGGCCACAGCTCCCCATCAGCTCTGCCATCATGAGGGCAGGCAGGTGACACTCTGCAGTGGAATGCGTTGCCAGTATTTTTTGGGTATTTTGTTTTGTGTTTTCACACATCCTGTCATGACTATAAAACGGCCATCTTGTGTCTCCTGCTTCTGGGGAAACGAAGGCAGCTATGACTCTTGTGATGGAACTCAAGATAATTGGCCAGCATGGGGGTGGCAAGCCCATCACGGCCATCCACGCAAGTCAGGACTTTCAAAATCCATGATCTCATCCTTTTGGTCCATGTAACCCCATCATAAGCCAAGGAGCATCTGTAGAGTAGGGAAAGACGTTCAAAATGCAATAAATAACATAGCTCAAGACATGTGCGTGATGAGCTGTGGGGTGCGGCAGGGGAGTCAGAGAAGGTTCCTGGGGGAAATGAAGTGGAGCTGAAACCTGCATGATGAACAGGTTAATGTCAGGTAGGCAGGGGCAAGAGACTTGTCTGCCAGGGAGGACTTCCCAGGCGGAGGCACTGAAAGGAGGCTGGGTGGAGGATGTGGCCAGGAGATGAGGACCAGAGACGAGGCTGGAGGGCTGGCTGGGGCCAGGCCATAGAGGGCCTTACAGGACCAAGGAAAGGGTTCTGAGCAGGAGGCACAAGCTCAGATGACCATTTGAAAAGAACTCGTGGCTCCATGTGGCGCATGACAGCGGAGATATAAAGAAGTGGATCCCTCTGAGAGGTATTTAAGGAGCTAAAACCTAAGGCCTTGGTGAGGATGGATTAGAGGAGGAAATAGGGAGCAGAGGCGGTGGGGGCCGGACCCACCCAGCTTTCCTCTTTCCAGCTCCTGCCATCTTTGACCACTTCCTCACAACCATTGAATGGGAGGAGTCACCTTCCCTGAAGGTCTTCCCCCACTTAGGCCTAGGCCTGTCTGTCTCCAGCCAGGCTTCTCCTGCTGAATCTGGTGTTAGTAACTACTTCCTGATCAATATCTTCCCCATGGCCTGCAGGATACAAACCAAAAGGTCAGCCTGCACTTTCTCCTTTGTGCGTCCTGGTTTGTAAAGCGGGTCTCTCCAGATCCCCCACCTCACTCCCTCAACCTGCCTGCCTGCTCTGATGTTTCTGCTCCACAGCCATAGAAAGCCTGCCAGCTCCTTCCCACACAAGTGGAAACATTTCTTTGAGTTGGAGCCTAGACTATCCCACGTCTGTTACATCCTGGGCAATGCCTGGGGGTCCGTCTTTGGGGTTATTTTTCAGAACTGTTGCCAGCCAGGTGATGAGAGGCTGTTGACAAAGAGGAGGCACAGCTGGAGTGCCTGAGGCCAGGTATCTGCACATTCTCTCCCTTGCAAATCCAGTCTTCCTCAAACTTTCTCCAGGATAAAATGGGTGGAGCTTTTGAGAAGTAAGCACCATTCAGCTCACACTTTCCTTTGTGCTATGGGTTATTATCTTTACAAATGCCTCATTTAGAGTAGGGCAGGGTGGCTCACACCTGTAATTCCAGCACTTTGGGAGCCCTAGGCAGGAGGATCACGAGGTCAGGAGTTTGAAACCAGCCTGACCAACATGGTGAAACCCCATCTCTACTAAAACTACAAAAATTAGCCGGGCATGGTGGTGGGTATCTGTAATCCCAGCTACTCAGGAGGCTGAGGCAGGAGAATTGCTTGAACCCAGGAGGCGGAGGTTGCAGTGAGCCGAGATCGCGCCATTGCACTGCAGCCTGGACAACAGAGTGAGACTCCATCTCAAAAACAACAAACAACAACAACAAAGGCCTCTTTTAAAAGCCCAGTGGGAGACCTCAAGGGTCAGGGTTAACTTGAGAGATCTGGAAGGGAGAGGGTGAATGAGAGAGAAAATTACAGCAGGGAGAGCCAGACAGGCACGTTCCTTATGTTATGTTGGAGACTTGGAGAAGAAAGTATTGGACAATGAGCATAGAAACAGAAGGGGGTGGTCTCTCCTTATCCCCTGCCCCTTGGGAAAGAAAACTTTACAGCAGATGGGATTGGAGATGGGAGACAGACCCAGGGGAGTCCACATACACTTCATCAGAGACTAAAGAGGTGGCAAAGCTCTCCACATTTTCAAAAGCAGAGACACACACACAAAGGACTGGAAGGAAAGTTCCTAAATGACCTCTCAGTGGTGAGATTTCAGAGGTTTTTTTTTCTTTTGTTGGTCTTGGTTTCCTATATTTTTTCTACAGCGAATAGGCATGACATTTGTAAGCAACACAATCATATATAGATGTATGTACACACAGAGAAAAGGCGGGGTCCCCGGCAGGTCAGTCTTGTGGTCATCCCTGGAGACCTGGAGAGGTCCTCCACATCAAGGAGATCAGGCTACTGGGAGGGGTTTCAGAAAGCTGCCCTGTTATTATTATTATTGCTGTTGTTATTAGTGCTGTACTATTAAAGCAATAACAGGCTGGGCAAGGTGACTCATGCTTATAATCCCAACTCTTGGGAGGCAGAGGCAGGAGAATCGCTTGAGCCCAGGAATTCAAGATCAGCCTGGGCGGCACAGACAGACCCTGTCTCTAACCCCAAATACAAAACTTAGCCAGGCATGATGGCGTGTGCCTGTCGTCTCCGCCACTTGGAAAGTTGAGTCTGCAGTGAGCTGTGATCGCACTACTGCACTCCAGCCTGGCCGACAGAGCAAGACCCTGTCTCAAAAAAAAAAAAATAATAATAAAGCAATAATAGCCTTAGAAAGCCACTTCTCACAGCAGCTCTGTGAGGGAGTGCTGGGACAAGACACGATTATCATCCCCATTTTACAGATGAATATGCAGAGACCAGAAGAGGTTAAGAGGCTGTTCCAATCCGCACAGCTGCTTCCTGACTTAACCTTCGGAGGTCAAAGCAGGGCATGCAGCCCCAGGTCTTGAGATTCCAAATCATGAGGTTGTTTTGTTTTGAGACCAAGTCTTCCTCTGTCATCCAGGCTGGAGTGCAGTGGCATGATCTCAGTTCACGGCAACCTCCACCTCCCAGGTACAAGCGATTTTCAAGCCTCAGCCTCTGGAGTAGCTGGGATTACAGGCGCCTGTCACCATATTCAGCTGATTTTTGTATTTTTAGTAGAGATGGGGTTTCAACATGTTGGCCAGGATGGTCTTGAACTCCTGGCCTCGTGTGATCCACTCGCCTGCACCTCCCAAAGTGCTGGGATTACAGGCTGAGCCACCGCACCTGGTCCCACATCGAGTTCTTTGCGGTCTGTGAGAAAGCATCGCTGATGGATCTTCATCCCATGGCTTTGACCTCCGCATTTCTCTTGCTGTCCTGCGCACCACAGCGAGTGTCACAATATCCCACACACCACCGATCCCACTCCAGGGGCGCAGCGGCGCCTCAGCCCACACATGTGCAGAATCTCAGCCTCAAAGCCAAAAGCTTATTCACGCCTTACGTGCGCATCGGCTGCTGCTTGTCCTGCCCTTCGGTTTCAAAACCACCCAAGCTGGCAGGGGAACGTGGATAGGATTAAATTTTTATGGTTTTTAAAACCACATTACTTTTAGAAGACAAGGCAGAAACAGCCCTAACCTAATGATTAAAAAGAAAAGACTCCCACAGATAAGAACACCGCGGCCCCACAAAGAACCACATTAAAACCCCGGTTTTCTCTCACATATGATTGGCGGGAGTGGGTGGAACAGGACGCCTCTGGTCTCCGCAGAGGTTGACTGGATTCCGGAGAAATCGTTTAGCAGCTCTAAGTCCACGACAGACCACGCACCCCCTCCTCCGTGCCTCGGGATTATTTAGATCGCTGAGCTTCCGAAGTTTTTACCGCTACTTTTCAAAGAAACAAGTTCCCTCATGTTTTGAGGTTCAGGCAAATTGCGCTTCGTTGGCTGGAATCAGCTCCCAGGGAAGGCACCCGCGGGTGCAACTGCAGCCTGGACCTGACTGAGCCCCGTTGGGTGCAAATATCCCGGCTCCCCGGTGTCTCCAGGCGCAGGAGGCGGGAGTCGCCGGCCTCTCCGAGCCAACGTGCGCCCGGGCGCGTGCCAGCCGTGCCCGCAGTGCCGCGCGGGGCCCCCAGTCGTGCGGTGCGGAGCGGAGGGCGGCCGGGACGCAGGAGGAGGAGCGGGGGTGCCCGACTGGCTCCCGGTAGGATGCTCCCCGGTGCCCGCCTGCGGCCAGCTCACTCTGTCCCTAAACCCCACCAAGCCACCCGCGGAGGCAGGAGTCACCAGGCCCCCAGCCCACCGGGACCGGTCTCCCACTGAGGCCACCCTACTCACCGCTGGGCCCGCTAGGACCAAGAGCGCCCGCAGCTCCTCTCGGAAGTCGGACAGCCGCAGGCGGCGCGCCTCGCGGAGCTCAAGGATGGTCTCCGGGCCTCCGCGCGCGGGCACGGGCGCGAGCTCCTCAGGAGCCTCCATGTGCCAGGCGCGCTGCGGCCGGGGAGGGCGGAGGCCTGCTGTGGGGACCGCGTAGCGCAGCCTGTTCTGCAGTCCCCGCCCCTGCCGCCCGCCCAGAGCCCGCCCCGCGCCTGGCGCCCTGGGGCCAGACTGAGTGCGCCCCAGGACGGCAGTCTGCTACCTTGGGCGCGCCCCTTGCAGCTCTCTCTGCAACACTGCGGACGCCTGCGGGTCTTGCAAAGACCAAGGAACTCCTGTATTTGGAAGGCAAAGTTTGAAAAAGCTCTGTTGGAAACTAACGGAACGCGCTCCGGCGGCTGGGTCCTCCAAGTCTCGGACGCCAGGGCTCACCCCTGCTCTGCGCCTCTCCTAGGGGTTTCAGGTTCTGAATGCCTTGGCGTGGAAGGACCCAGAGGCCTCCAGCCAAGACTCGGTTAGCAGCCCGCGGGGTACACTGGTTGGGCGCATTTGTTGTGCAGATTGAGTTGGGTACATTCTTTGATACTGGTTTGGATGTTTCATACTCTTCTCCTCTCATCGGTTGTTCCAATAGAGAACTTAGAACCTACCAGGACAGAGCAACATGCTCCCATTTACCAAGTAGCACAGTTGGCGCCCATTGGTCGTCTTGGAAGTTTATCCATCAGTCTGTTATGGGAGGACGAGAGGCTGGGGCTCAGAAGGGCACAGGCAGCCTCCCAGAGCCTCAGTTTCCTCATCTGCAAAGGTGAAATAACATCTCGTCGCCAGCTGTGAAGATTAGGGTTGCCTGGGCAGAGGACCTGAGTCAGTGCCGCCTGCCCTCAGCCTGGCACCGGCCATTACCTAGTAAGTGTCATTTACCAGGACCTGAATAATTTCTGTAAAAATCCAAATTCCTTCTGTTGTAAGTGATCCAATGTAAGTAGAGAAAACGGAAGACAAATTTTTTGGGTCACGTAATCAGGAAGTTTGGATTCTGGGATTTAAAAACAAGATTATTCATGCTGTCCCTCTCCCCATCTCTGTCCCTCTCTTCCCTTCTCCTCGCCCCTTGGGGTTCTTTATATGGTTTCTCTCCCTCCTCTGCAGGCAGCCTTTCTCTTCTTGTGCAGGTGACAGTGGCCTCCGATACCCTCATTCCTATCTTTCATCTGGTAAACCAGAAAGTAAGGCCCTCCCCTCTTCTCTTCTGGCTCCAAACTAAAAAACAAAAAACTGGGAGAATATCTGATTGGCTCTGCTTAGTTTTCTTGCCCACCTCTGAAACAATCGCCCTGGGTGGGAGAACAGGGTCTTATGCTTGGCTGGCTCTGGACCATGCACCCAGCTTTGTACCTATGGGGTTGGGTGCTATCTGTGACCAGTCTCGTCCCACCAGAACTGCACGTACGGAGTAGAGAAGTTTCCCAAAGGAACTGAGAGTCTCAACAAATATCCGAGGATATTCACTAGATCTCTGATCACTGCTGTTCTTCGATAGTCCTCTGGAAGTCCTGACTGATGTAATAAGACAGGAAACAGAAATGTAATGTACATTAGGAAAGAAAAGGCAAAGGGATTACTCACAGTAGAATTGCCAGACTGCGCCAGGCACAGTGGCTCACGCCTGCAATCCCAACACTTTGGAAGGCCAAGGCAGGAGGATCACTTGAACCCAGAATTTTGAGAACAGCCTAGGCAACATAGTGAGATCCCATCTCCAAAAAAAAAAAAAAAAAAAAAAAAAAAAAAAAAAAAAAAAAAAAAAAAAAAAAAAAAAAAAAAAAAAAAAAAATCCAGTCAACCCCAAGAAATAAAATGTGAACAAAAGCTAATAGAAATGATAAAGGGGTTTAATAAAGTTGCACATAAAAGTTCTTCAACAAGTCATAGCAGTCCTTTCTTTAATAATAACATATATGAAAATATTAAAAGAAGAAATCTTTCACAATAACAACAAAAATAAAAACTCCTTGTGATGCAAAGCATAACACCTCACTCCTTAAAGGTGGATTGTACACAGTGACTTCCTCCCAAAGAGTAGAGCAGGAAAATTAATTTTCAATTAATATATTAGGTTTTAGTTCACTTTTGTTTATTCTATTATTTTACAATTTAATAGAATGATGCTAAAAGTAATTGGTAGTGTAAACAGGAAAAGATATAACAAAAATTCTGAAAAAGAAAAGTAAGGAGAAGAGAAGTAGTTCTATTAGCTGATAAATAGTTTTTAAAACAATGCGTGGTTGGCTGAGCATGGTAGCCCATACCTGTGGCCCCAGCACTTTGGGAGGCTGAGTTGACAGGATTGACTGAGCCTCAGAGTCTGAGATTGCAGTGAGCTGTGATGATTGCACTACTGCATTCCAGTCTGGGCAGCAGACTGAGACCCTATCTCAATAACAAACAAAAAACAATTTTTTAAAAAAAGAACTCTGTTACTTGGAAAGTGTTGGGATTTTGATTGATATTGCATTATATCTGCAAATTTATTCAGAAAGAATACACCTCATTAAAAGACTGTCTTCTAGGGAGGCCGAGGCAGGTGGATCATCTGAGGTCGGGAGTTCAAGACCAGCCTGACCAACATGGAGAAACCCCGTGTCTGCTAAAAATATAAAAATTAGTCAGGCATAGTGGCACATGCCTGTAATCCCAGCTACTTGGGAGGCTGAGGCAGGAGAATCACTTGAGCCAGGAGGCAGAGGTTGCGGTGAGCCAAGATTGCACCATTGCACTCCAGCCTGGGCAACAAGAGTGAAACCCCGTCTCAAAAATGTAAATGAAATAAAATAAAATACTGTCTTCCAGTTTAATCATATCCCTAGTCTAATCAGTACTCATCTAGGGGAATGGGAGACTGTTTGGACTAGGGATATGGTGAATTTGTTATTGATGCTTGATAAATAGTCATAATTATGTTCATATGTGGCTCTTAATTTGCCAAAATTTATTATTAAAAGAATGTATTAAAGTTAAATTTCATCAGATTTTTTTTTTTTTTTTTTTATTACAGGGTCTCTCTCTGTCACCTAGGCTAGTGTGCAATGGTGTGATCTCTGCTCACAGCAGCTTCAACCTCCCTGGCCAAGCAATCCTCCCACCACAGCTTCCCGAGGAGCTGGGACTACAGGCATGCGCCACCACGCCCAGCTAATTTTGTATTTTTAGTAGAGATAGGAGTTTCTCCATGTTGGTCAGGCTGGTCTTGAACTCCCAACTTCAGGTGATCCACCCGCCTCGGCCTTCCAAAGTGCCAGGATGACAGATCTGCGCCACCATGCCCAGCCCCAATTCTCTTTTTATTGTAGGATTAATGGTGGTCATTGTGGCTAGCTCCCCAACATTCCTTTCACCCCAAATGACTCCTTTTAGCCAGTCACGAGAATCTCATTTTCCTCATCAGGGGCCTACATAAGACAGGCATGACCCCATTCTATTTAATATATTTATATATATATTAGAGACAGACTCTCACTATGTTACCCAAGCTCATGATTCAATTCTAGCCATGAAACTTGAGTGAAAATCTGATGGCATTTCTGGAAAAGATTTCCTATTTCTAACATTCAGGCAAAAAATAAAAGGCCCCTATTTTCTCCTTCAGATGTGGTATCCAAATTTTTTATTTTTTTGAGACAGAGTCTCACTCTGTCTCCCAGGCTGGAGTGCAGTGTGTGATCTTGGCTTACTGCAACCTCTGCTTCCTGGGCTCAAGCGATCCTCCCACCTCAGTCTCCCAAATAGCTGGGACCACAGTAGGGTATCCCTATGACTGGCTCATTTTTATAGTTTTTGTAGACATGGATTTTCACCATGTTGCCCAGGCTGGTCTTGAACTCCTGAGCTCAAGCAATCCACCCTCCTCGGCCTCCCAAAGTGCTGGAATTACAGGTGAGCCACCACACCCAGCGGTATCTGAATATTCTGCCTGAAAGTGTGACAGCCATGATGCTGCTGGCCCCAGGATAAAGGGCAAAGCCAAGAGGATCACAGATATTCAATGAAGACTCAGAGAGGGAGAGAGGGAGGCAGAGAGCGTATAAACAGATGATTATAAAAGGCAAATATCTGTTATTGGCAAGAAAGGGGAAGGCTTTTTAAATTTAGACACACAGGCTCGTGCAGTGGCTCACACCTGTAATCCCAGCACTTTGGGAGGCTGAGGCAGGAGCGTTGTTTGAGCTCAGGAGTTCAATATTAGCATGGGCAATATGGTGAAACCCCATCTCTGCAAAAAAAAATACAAAAATTAGCCAAGCATGGTGGCATGTGCCTGTAGTCCCAGCTACTTGGGAGCCTGAGGTGGGAGGATCATTTGAGTGTGTATGGGGGGAAGGCTGAGGCTGCAGTGAGCCATGATCATGCCACTGCACTCCACCCTAGGTGACAGAGTGAGGCCCTGTCTCTAAAATAAATAAAAACTTAGACACACAGAAAGAGAGCCAACTTTTTTAGTTTTATTAACTTCGCCCACAAATCTTAAAGGAAAACACAGAATTCAAAACTAACCAGTTGGTTTAAGCTACAGGTATCAAAGGCTGCTTTCCACTCCAGGGAGAGAAAAAGCCATTTTCTAATTGCGTAACTTGCACTCACACTGTCTATAAACAATAAAGACAAAACTGAGGAGCCGGGAGACATTGGGATCTCCAAGCAAAACACACAAAGCAAAACAACCACCACAACGAAAATCCACCCACAATAATCCAAATTCCTGTTCGGTCTGCTGTCTGGCAGAGCGCGCCTAGTGGTTAGATCATGAAAACCTCATGGAAGAGGGCATAAGTCGCTGTATGCAAATCAGAACCCAAGCCAGAAACAGACCTGGCCAAGAATCAGACAGAAACTAGAAAGTAAAACAGAAACAAAGCCAGCAAACAGTCAAAAAACAAACAAACAAAACCCCACAGTGTGGGAAGAAAGTTGCTCAGGTGCCAATGCAAAAGACTAAAGCCACAATCTGTCCCAGCGTAATAAATAACGGATTACTTAGATACAGCAATGATGCCAGATATATTTACTGATTATTTAGTTACGGCAATGATATATTTACTGATTACTTAGTTATGGAAATGATACCAAATATATTTAGAAACAATCACATAATTATATAATCAATCTTAGTAAATCATTATTCTCCATTATTAATCTTTA